TCACATCTCTAGTGGAGACAGCAGGGTGCTGTGTTCAAGACAGGGCACGAAGCAGGCAGGAGAGAGCGGAGCGCTGGCAATATCTATTTTTCTGTATGAGTTATGGCCGCACACAGGGCTCAATTTAGAATTACTTATTGAGTTGTACATATTTTATGTACCTCTTTTATGTCTGTTATACATTACACACATACATCTTTTAAAAAAAATCATTGTAGGAACCAAAGTTTGTGACCCTGGCCTAGACCCGAACACAGGTGGTGATGAGGGGCATGGGCCACCAGAGGTGTGAGGTCCAGAATAAAAGGTAGGAGGCTGGGATGGATGGGTCCCCAAGGAGGAGGCAAAGGTGAGTGTTTTGAGGGGTGGGAGCAGGGGAGGGTGCACATTCCCCCATCACCGTGCACTGCTTACCTAGGTAGTTCTGCCAGCAGTTCCTGGTCTGGTTCTGGTTGGGGAAGCGGCTGTCAAAAGGGGCAGTCTTGTAGTTCTTGATTTTGGTCTTGATGTCTTCTGCCATGGTGCTGACTCCTGAAGGCAAAAGGAGTGGGTGTTGGCAGGGGTTCTGGGGAGCCTGAGAACGGGGATGTCAGATCAGCCAGGCCCAATGAGGGAGGCCCAGACATAGCAGAAAGTGCTGGGTGTGAACAAACTACTGTGTCCTCACTCTTAACACACACGCAGAGATGAGGGGCAGGGCCAACCCATACATCTGAGTGTGGACATCACAGCAGGGCTGGGGGCAACCTCCTTAATTGCCTGGTCCCAAAATAATACCAGCAAACATGCACTGAGTGCTTACTACATGCCAAGGTGCTGGGCTACATACACATTTCGCTCCTACAGCCACTCTAAAACTATTACTATCCCCATTGCACAGACAAGGAAGGGACAGGGTGTCATAAGTGACTTCCCAAGGTCATCCAGCATACAAATGGTGGGCTGCCTCAATTACTGGCATAACGTACATTGCAAAGGTTCTAAATCTTTTTGGTGCCACAAACTCCTCAGGGGGCTGATGAATCCCATAAACCTCTTTGTCAGAATATGTTTAAATGCATTAAAAAACTGCGTGCGATCGCAAAGAAAATTAGTTATATCTAGCTGAGGTTTATTAAGTAACAATTTTGAAGTAATCATGAATGGATAGGGTACTTTGTGACATTTGCAACTATAATATGATGTAAGAATATGCGTGATTTTGATTGCTAACAAAGTCACAGTTGCTAATACTACTGACGTGGTTGTCTCCATTTCTAACTGCAAGAAATGCTACCTTTCAATTAGAGGTTAGTAAAAATATGGATTTAAGTATTAATACTATCGAGTATTAATACCATTCAAGTATTAATACTATCACTCCTTGAATTCTATCAGCTCTGCAGACCCAGGCTTAAAAGCCTTTAATAAAACGTCTCTGAAAAGGTGACACATAGTAAGCGCCTGTATTCCGGAGAATCCAAGGAATCGTGAGGCTATACGGAGGAGCGCAGGCCAGTGTCAAATTCAAGGGGTCCCAGGTGATCGTGGGGGTCTGAGGCACTAGAATAATCTTTGGGAGGGGGCAGGGAGAAGTGGGGAGTGGGAACGTAAAGCACCAGTTGCTGGGACACAGATGCAGTCCGAAGAGCAGTTATGGGCGAGATTCTGATCCCATATCTGAGGGTGAGGGTGGATCGGAGATGACGCTGCCGCCCCTCCATAGTCGGAGAGAGGATGGACTAGCACCAGGGAGCTAGGCTGCGGCCCAGGCAAGCCGCGGGAGGCCATGCCTGTGGACTGGTGATTAAGAACACTGTACCCTAAACTACCGGGTCCATATTCTGGCCGCGGTGCTGCCTCGGTTAAGTCGCTTAGTTATCTCCGAGCTTCAGTTTCCTCACTGTCAAACGGGGATAATCACAGGTCCTACCTCATAGGGCTGGTGGGAGAGCTAAATGAGTACAATATACTTATAATATAAGTTGTCTGGAATGTTTTCTGGCATTAAGGAAGAACTATATAGTCGCCAGCTATTTCTACTAACAGAACAGGGCCCCAGGGCCCAGGGCGGCCCGACGCCGCCGGCCGGAAGCCTCATCCCGTTCTTGGGGACGACAGGGTTCCACAGCCCGCTAGGCTAGGGTCCCAGGTTCCAGAGCCCTCCACACTCACCTACAGACACCCCAGCTGCACCTCGTAGCTCAATGTGACCCTCGGCAAAGACGCCAGCGTCGGACAGGAAGCGGAATTAAGGCCGGCCGGAAGCGGAGAGAGGCGGGGCATAGTGAGTCTTCCGCGCGGCTAGAGAGCCCACGAGGAGGAGGTCCGCGAAGCTATTCGGGTCACGCCCATCAAAAGAACTCCGACCTTCTATTGGGCTGAATGCTTGTTCATCATCACTCCCGGCCCAATCGTGAGCTGGCGCGGCACTTCCAATGACTCTGACAGGGGCTCAGGACGCCTGTGGTGACAGCTTCTCGTCCCCTCCGTATCTTTACCTGGGGTAAGAGTTATAGATCCTGGGACTGGCTGAAGGGTGGGCGTGGGGAAAATGTTCCGGCGAAAGCACTTTTATTCATGCAAGAAATATTTATTGAGCTTTTATTCTGTGTCAGGCTCTTCTACAAGGGCTGAGAATACATCGCTGCACAAAACACAAAAATTCCCACTCTCATAATTATTATGGGGTCAATTGTTAGGGGACTGAAAACAAACCAATCTCGCCCCGGGTGTCACTCGTCACGATAGGAGGAATGCTCAGACTCCACCTCCCTGCTCATTACCATCTTTCTCCAAAACCTGGAAGGCACAAAGGAACAAAGTTTTGAGTGGCCGAGGGCTCAAAAACCAAAGTCTTGCGTCACAGGGAGGTGGAGTTAGGAGTTCAAGCTTGGGTCTGTGAAGGATCTGGCAGAAATTGTTCCATCTGGGAAAATGACAATTCTGTCGTTCTGGTCACAGAATTGTCCTTGACTCCTACCTTTCTCTCACACGCCATAGCCGATCTATTAAGAAATCCTGTTGGTTCTGCTTTAAAAATATATCCAGAATCTTCCTCTGCCACATCTGCATCAAGCCACCATCGCTTTCCGCCTGGACTATTGCAGTAGTCCATTCCCAGGCCTTCTAGCTTCCCAGTGCCCTCTATGCCCACTCAGCCAGAGGGACACTTGTAAATACCCCAGTAAGATCACATCCCTTCCTCGGCCCAGAACTCTTTCCTGGCTTCTGGTCTGACTCTTATACTCTGTTTTTATCCTTTTCTTTTTTTTTGCTGCATTCTATTGGTTAGAAATGACGATTCTAGTCTAAAGCCAAAATCCGTACAAATGACTTACACAATTTGGCCCCGTTTATACCTTCATCTCCTATCCCTCTCCTCCTCGCTCCCACTGCTCCAGCCATGCTGACTCCCTAGCAGTTCCTTAAACACACAGGCTGGCTCCCACTAAGGGGCTTTGTGCTTGCTGTTCCCTTAGCTGGGAATGCTCTTCCTGTAGATAGCTCCCTCTCTCGCCTCCTTCAGATCTTTGCTCAGATGTCACCTTCTGGGTGAGTCCCTCTTTGACCAAATATTTAAAATTCACGTTTTGTCAGTCTCTATCCCCCGTCCCTACTTTATTTCTCCATAGCATTTACTTCTCACATACTATATCCATTCATTTAAATTATGTTTACCTCTTTTTGTCTCCCTCAATAGAAGAGAAGCATCATAAAGGAATCATTGTTTCATTCACCATTGAATCTAAAACAGTGCCTGGCCCATAGGAGGTGCTCTGTAAACGTTTGTTGAATGAATGAATTTCTTGTGTAAATGAAGAGGGGCATCTGGGGACTAGGAGAGGGAGCTGTAAGAGAGAACTGCTTTCCTCCCCCTTCTCAGTTTGGCCTCCAAAGCCTCCCACATACTGTATTGGGTGCAGTGTCCAGGTCTAACCGGGCCAGAAGCTTCTTCTTACACATTCTGTGTTCATCAACATTGTAATTATTTATGGAATTACCTGTTTACATGCCTACATTCTTCCCCTTCGATGAGACCCTCCTAAAATCCAAATCCCTTCCCAGCTTAAACCCCTCGATGGCTCCCTAGTGCCCTGGGGACAAAGCCCAGGTTCCTCACCATGACCCACAGATCCTTTGTGAACTGGCCCATGTTCCCGCCCCAGCTACACCGATATTTTTGGACAGTGCTGTGTGATCTTCCACCTTCACGCCTTTGCTCTTGCTGTTCTTTCTGCCTGAAACATTCTTTGCCTACCTAACTTCTTAAATCAATTGCCTCCTTCTGCAGAAAGTTCTATGTCCTCCAGCTTGGAGTAAGGAGACAGAGTAGGGGGTGTTGAGGGGCAAGGACTAGGTTTAATGCCTTGACCATCCATCCCTAGCAATGGGAGGGCACAGGGTAAGACCTTTCCGGAGTCTAAGTCTGCTCTTCAAGGGGGACACAGCAGATAAACTTTCGTGACTGGATCTGATTCCTTTAAAAGTCCTGACACAGGGCGGGCGCACCATAGACCTTACGGACACTAGGTTAGATTTCTCTGTATGTCCCATCACAGGGTGGGCACACAGCGGGCTCCTTAAGGGTCTGGTCATTGCCCAGCACTGGAGGTGGGTAGCTCGTTACCCCAAAACTAACCACTGAATTGAGAGGTCCACAAAGACTATATGGAGGGAGCAAAGCGGAGTAGTGACGCCTAGGCACCTAAGGGGCAGGGACCCAGGAAACTGGCAGCGAGGGGACGGGACTTAGGGAATCTCCGAGCTCCAGAGAGGAGGGGCCTGTGTCCCTCGTTCCTGGGTCCTTGGGGAGGAGAAGACTAAGACACTGGCAGTTTTCTAGGGACTAAGGGGAGAAGACCCAGGCTCCTGAATTATGTGAGAGGAAAGAGATGAGGGTCCAGACGCCTGGGTCTCCGAGGTGGGAGGCCAACTCCTAAATGTGGGGGTCCACACTTAGGCTCCCTAGCGAGGTCTAGTCAGTGTCCGTGGGAAGGATGCAGACAAGCACGCGCGACGAGGTTTATCCGGATATCTTTATTGTGTCTCTGCTCCCTGTCCGCCTCCCGCGCAGTCCGCATAGGCTAGGCCGGGCACTCGGCCCCCGAAGCGGTACGTGTACTTGCGTCCACCGCTCTTGCGCACGATGTCGCGGCGGTAGTAGTAGCGCAGGCCTCGGCTCAGCTTCTCGTAATTCATGCCCGGCTTCCTCTTGCGCTCGCCCCACAGCCGAGCCACCTGGGGCAGAGGGGAGGGGGCGGGGCTTAGCCATGGTGGGCGGGGCGGGCCTGGGCGAGCAATACGGCTGGAGAAAGGTTGGGCGGGGCCTTGAGAATAGGGGCGGGGAAGGGGCGGGGCCAATGACTAGGCAAAGTGAATGGCGGGACTAGGTTGAACCACAGGAGAGGGGGCGGGACTTGGCGGGGCAAGGGAGCTGCCCCACCTCTTTGGGGTCGCACAGCTGGAACTCGCGGCTGTTGCCTGTCCAGCGGATGCAATTGCTACGGTCCCCGTCGTGGAGCAGCTCCAGGAGGAACTGCCACAGCTGAATGGGACCTGCAGGTTGGAGGCAGGTGAATCCCCAATCTTCCCGGCCCCAGATCAATGACCAGGCTCTGTCGCCTCGAAGGGCCAAGGGTCCAGGCCCTCCCAACTCGAGACCCATGAGTCCAGATCCCCTCCCCCTCGGGGACCCATATAGGGGACCAAAGAGTCAGCCTCGGGGACTCAGGGCTCAGGTCCCCCACCTTGGAGATTTAGGCGTTTAGCTTTCCCACCTCGGTGATTCGATGAGGGTCTAGACCCTCATCTCTTTCCTCCCACATAATCCAGGAGCCTGGGTCCTTGTCCCCTTGGTCCCTCGAAGACTACCAGTGTCTTAGTCCTCTCCTTCCCAAGGACCCGGGAGTGAGGGCCACAGGCCCCTCCTCCCTGGAGCGCTTAGGTCCCTAAGCCCCTTCCCTCACTGCCAGTTTCCAGGGTCCCGCCCCCTTAGGTGCCTAGGCGTCAATACTGCGGCCTTGTTCCCTCCGCCGACTTCGCTGACCTCTCACCTCGCTGGGTAGTTTTGGGGTAACGAGCCAAAGCGGCACAGTCCGACTGCTGACTCTGTTCGGAGGAAGTGGTGAGAGCTGAACCCTGGTACCCCTTCGCAGATGTGGTGCAATCCGTATGCAGCCCCGGGTTCCAGGAGGCGGTGCAGTCCGAGCCCGCAGGGCCGCCCCACGAAATGGTGCAGTCCGCGCGCGGTTCCCCGCTCAGGCCGTTGCCCCAGTAGGTGGCGCCGTCGGGGCCGATCGAACAGTCCCAGCGGGTGGCGCTCCTGGCCACCTGGGCGCGCGTCCACGAGGCGGCCCCTCCCGCCGAGGTGGCACAGTTCTGGCCCGCGGCCCCTTCAGAACCAGAGAGCAGGGCGGGGCCCGGGCAGGGAGGGGCGGGGTCCAGGGTCTGGCAGCCGCGGCTCCACGGGTCCGAGGCCGCGCACGCCAGGTCCGTCCAGTCTCCGGAGCACGGAAGAGCCTGAGGGGCGGGCTCTGGGAGGAGGAACGGACCCAAGTGAGCGGAACCCAGGTTTCCCGGCCCCTCGGCGGTTGCAGGGGTCTAAGCTCTCAGCCCTAGCGCTTGGGGCCCGGGGCTCCGGGATCCAGGCCGTGGCACCTTGAGAAAGCAGGTGTCCCCAGTCCTAGCCCCGCTCCTCGGCAAAGACTGGGGAGTCTGCATCTCCAGCCCCAGTGCCTGAGGACCCCCGTCCACGCTTCCCACCGCCTCCCCCACACACTCACCCGCCCCCCACGGAGCTTCTGGGTGCAGTAGCGCGGGGTCCCAGCCCCGCTGCGGGAGCCCTGCGGGAGAGAGGAGTGTGAGCGACGACTTCGAGACCGCCCTCGACCCGCCCGGGAGTCTATCTGTCAGGGACTGGGCGTTATTACCCCCAGTCCCTGCTCACTCAGGACCCGGGGACCCCGCCTTCAGCCTCAGGAGTCCAAGCAGGCGGGCCCTGGCTGCTCAGCCCCGGAAGTCCAGGCGGGTCCCCACTCCTCCCTTACACCCGGGAGCGCGGCCTCCCCCTGTCTCCCCCAGCACCCAGGGTTCCCAGCCCGCAGCAACCTTTCCAGCTAGTCTCTGCGGTTGGCATGTCCCCTCGGAGCGCCAGGTCAGGGAAATAGAAGCCGAATTCAGCTCCTTCTGCAGGCAACGAGGAGGTCAGGGCCGGTGGGGGGTTAGCAGCGGTCCCCACCTGGGCACCCTCCCCACACACCTTGTCTCAGCCCTGGCAGCCTACCCAGCCCTGTCAGCTTGTTCCCCCGAGGCACTTCCTGTGGTGCTGCTTCATCCCAGCTCCACAGGTCCATGGATGCTCTTCGGGAATGTTCTGCGTCGGGAAAAGTCGAAATGGCACTGGGTGAAGCTGTGACGCTGGGAGACCCGGGAGTCTGGGCCCCAGCCCTTGCTTCCCGGAGACCTCGGAGTCCGGGCCTGTGCTCCTGCCTTCCCCGGGAACCTCGTAGGCATCTTGGCCTACGGCCCCCTCTCTCGCAGACCAGGAGTGAGGGACCTCAGCCCTCTGCCCCTCTCAAACCCGGGCGTCCAGGCCCCCAGCTTTTGGGGGTCTAGCCCCCTGGTCCTTCCTAACCTGGACTCCCAGGCATCCAGTCCTCAGTTCGCCGCTCACCTCTGGCGGGTTCCTCTGCCCCCAGCCGGGGGTCTCAGCCCCATTTCATACCATGCACCCCTTCCCTCGAGGGCCTGGGCAGGGGGGAATTTTCCGAGACGTCAGAGCAGGGGGTCGCAGCCCGGGTCAAGTTGCAGGGGCGGGGGCGGGGCCGAGCCGCGCCCCCCGCCTCAGGGATGGGCGCTCGCCTCTGGGGCTGTCCTGCTGCAGGGACGATTTAGGCTCGGATGGGGACTTGGGGAACAGCCTGCTGGGCGAGCCGGGGGGCGGGGGCTGGGGGTGTTTACGGGGTGATGGAGCGGGAAAGGGGGCTTGGGGAACAGCTTCTCAGTCTTGGGGACTTGATCCTGCGACATGGAGGGTGGTGAGGGAGGAGGGTCTGGGGTCAGTCGGGCTGCCCCAGGCTTATCTATAACAGGAAGAGGGATTTCCGGCCAGATACCCCCACCTCCCCAGCGTCAGCCGACGTCACAATTGGCAGAGTGACTGCGGGGTCCGGGGGGTGGAGTGGAGGTGGGGGAGGCCGACCCGAACCCCCCACCCCGCGGCCAAGTTGGGGAGGGCATCCTGGGGCTGCTCCCCGGGAGTGTCCGTCATAACAACAATATAAACAATAACAGTAGTAATAACAGCTGACATTAAGTGAGGGATCATTGTGCCACCAACTGTGCCATAGGCCTTCTTTTAATCCTCTTAGGAGGTAGGTACTATTCCTATATGCATTTTATGAAGGGGGAAATTGAGACAGGCTTCCTCCCACTGCTCCTCCTCTCCAGAGCCCGTGCCCTGGCATGCTCTAATAGCGTGTGACAATTGGGGAAATTTAAGTATAAACTGAACAGGAGATACTATATAATTATTTTCTTAGATGTGATAATGGTCTTATGGTATGAAAGATGTCTCTTAGGAAATGAACACAGATATTTAGGGATGAGGTGTTACAATGTCTGTAACTTGCTTCAAATAACTCAGCAAAAAGCAAAAAAAAAATTCATACATGTAACATATATTAGTACATACATACAGACAACATTTGGGACATATCCAATGTTGGGACATATACAACTAAAAAATTAATTGTTCTTTACCTGAAATTCAGTAAGTAGATGTCCTATATTTTCGTTTGCTAATTCTGGCGACCCTTAACCCAGGTAACCTGGCTTCAGAGACTATGCTTGTGACCATCCTGCTATATTAATAAGTAAATATTTACCATTAAAAATAACTTTTTTTTTTTGAGACAGTCTTGCTCTGTTTCCTGGGCTAGAGTGCCGTGGCGTCAGCCTAGCTCACAGCAATCTCAAACTCCTGGGTTCAAGCGATCCTCCTGCCTCAGCCTCCCGAGTAGCTGGGGCTACAGGCATGTGCGACCATCCCTGGCTAATTTTTTCTATATATTTTTAGTTGTCCAGCTAATTTCTTTCTGTTTTTAGTAGAGAAGGGGTCTCACTCTTGCTCAAGCTGGTCTTGAACTCCCGACCTTGAGTGATCCTCCAGCCTCGGCCTCCCAGAGTGCTAGGATTACAGGCGTGAGCCACCGCGCCTGGTCTCGCCTAGCTTCTTGATTATTAACCGCTTGCCATTCTGGAGGATCAGAGGAGGGAGGCACTGCTGTTCTGTCCATTTTACAGAAGGGAAACTGGGCTTCAAGAGGAAGAGAAACTTTATCAAGGTCACATGGGACTAGAGTGGGGCTAGGATTGGATCCAGTGTTGGTTGAGCCACCAAGCCCTGGGGCATGACTGGCCCCTCCATCCACTCAGCCCCGGGGCCAAAAGGGAGTCCTGGCCTGCCCGGCCCCACCCGGCCCCAGGCCTGCTCTCCCTGAAGCTGGCCTCTCTGCTGTGTCTGTCTCTCCATGTCTCTCTGCCCTGTCGAGGTTGATGTCCCCAGCTCTGGATCTCTGTGGCACCTGGCCTGATTCCAGTGAGGCCTTGTTGCCCAGTCTCTTTTGACAAGTCTCTCTGTCCCTTCTCATCTCTGAGTGTTCCTTTCTTCTTGTCTGTCTCCATCTGCCTCTCTCTCCGGGTTTTCTCCCCGCCTCCCTTCCCACTGCACTGTCTCTGAGAGTTCTCTTCCCTGCACCTCGAGTCTCCCTCCTCTGTATCGGTCTGTCTCTCCCTGTCCTCAGGAAGACTTGTGTGTACTTTTAAAACCCTCCTTTCGTCCCTTGCCCCTATGGCTGCGGTGGGCAGAAGGGGATTGGGTAAGAAGGGCTAGTGAGGAGGGGAAGGGGGTCGAGGGTCTGGGGCTGGGTGGTCTAGCCCAGGTGGCAGGGGGCTGAAGGGCACTTCCTGCCAGGGAAGGAAGCCCTTACCCCTCTGACCAGACTGGAAAATGTGACGTCAGAGAGGGGGCAGTAAGGGGGGAAGACAGGAACAGAAGAAATTTGACACCTCTCCTGGGTGACCTCCTTCGCTGAGTCCTTGGTATTGTCTCCTCCCACCCCCACGCCTTTTGTGCAGCTGAAAGTCCTTCCCGACTTGTCCCCTCCTAATGCAGGTTCTGATGGCTGTGTCCTGGCAGACCTTCATCCCCTTCCCACACTCAAGCCCTAGAAGGTCCCTCCTCTGGCCTGGTCCCTACCACAGCCTCCCTCCAGATCCGCAGCCCACAGTGGTGGTCTCAGTGCTCTCTCGAAAGCACGAATCTGCAGTGCCAGTCCCCTGCTTGCTGCAGCCTTCGGGGTAAAGTCTAAGCTCTTAGCCTGGCATTCAAGGTTCTGCACCTCTTTGGACAGGCAGAGGCCAGCTTGGAGCTGGGAAGAGAGAGAGGGGGAGACACCCACAGACACAGAGAGAGGAGAGACTCAGAGAGATACACTTAGGGACACTCAGAGATACAGAGATACCCACACAGAGACATACAGCAACATAAGTCAGCTGGGGTTTGGCAGAGTGAAAAAACTGGAAAACAGTCTGAGACACCCAGAGAATAAGAATTCCAGAAAGAAAATGAGTCTCGGAAGGGGTGAGAATGACAGTTCCTTCAGGAAGCCCTTTCTGATCCACAGGTCTGCACCCCGGGCTCCCCCAGCCCTACCCTGACTGCTCCGCGCTCTGCCTGGCGTCAGCCTTTCTGCTGCCACTGGACCATGAGCTCCCAGGGAGCAGGGCCCGGGACTGTTTCAGTCTCTGTGGTGTCACCAGCATTTGCAAGTTTGTTGAAAGCCTAGAAAGCTTTGAGCTCCAGAAGGGCGGGCCTAGAAGACCCCCTACTTGGTGCTGAGAACACAGGCTGGAGTCAGACCTGGGCCCCAGCTTGGCCTTGCCATGACTCCTCCCTTCTCTGGAATGGGCTGTGTGCACCGTGCGCTTTAGAGTTGGAGAGGAGGTAACGGGTGCACCTTAGGGGCTCCAGAACACTCATCTGCTGTCCGGGTAAACTTTCAAGGCTCCCCACAACTCTCAGGTGGGGGATGCCAACCCCAACTCTCCAGAGTGCTTTCAAGCCCAGCCAAGGATGGAAATGAACATAAATTTATTGAAACTGGTTTTGAGGCAGGTGGGTGGATAGTTGGGGGTTTTGTGAAGAGAGCTGTGGGGAGGAGCCAGCGCCCGGCCGGATGGGAGCGGGTGCCCAGCCACAGACCCTATCTCAGGCCCAGCTTCTTCTTTTCCTTCTGCTTCTTGCGGACCACGTCCAGATTCCGGTCCTTCCACATGCTCTTGCGGAGCTTGATGGGGCGTGAGCCCACATACTTCCCTGCAGAAACAGAGGGTTCTGGTCAGGCTTCGGGTCAGGCCTGCCACAGCCGCCGTCCCTCGGGGAGGCCTCACCCACCATTCATCTCACGCATGGCGCGCACGTAATCACTGGGGTCCTTGAAGCTGACGAAACCGTAGCCCTTGGTCTTGCCTGTGCGCTTGTCACGGATCACCTTAGCCTTAAGGAAGGATGGGAAGCGGCTGAAGGCGCGTGCCAAGATGTCATCGTTCACTTCATTGCCCAGATCCCCACAGAAGATCCGGAAGTCATCTGGGGATGGGAGACAGAAAGGGTCAGCGGATGCAGATTCCTGGCCAGGGCCCACTTTGTGGGAATGCGCCACTTTCTCTGGAGGCTCTGCCAAGCGCCTGGACAGATCTGTGTGCGCCTGGCACCCCCAACAACCCTTTCACACTAAGGCACAGAGAGCTCAAGTCATCTGTCCAAAGTCACCCAACCAGGAAGCAGCAAGCCTGGGACACGAGCTCAGGCATCTGCCTCCAGAGTCCTTTAACCTCTACCTGTACTGCCCTTCCCCGCCCTGGGCCATCTCACACATTCCCACGACGAAGCCCCTCACTCTGTTCCAGCCCGGCCTTTCCACGGAGCCCCTGGTACCCCTTGGTGTCCTAGACACCTTGCCATGGACATCCCTGGCCCCTAACACCTACTGGCCTCCCATCATGGCACAGGCTTCCTCTTCCTCAGCCTTGCTTCCTCTGCCAAGCCCACTCTAATTCCCCCCGGAACGCTGGACACACTGCCTGATCCTTCTCCAAAGCCGAGCTCAGCTGCCATTCTCAGCCACACCCTCTGGGTCGGGCCCACGCCCCTACTGAGCATGCTCAGTCCCAGTGAAGCCCCGTCCCCATGAGGCTCATGCTATTATTCCCTTTCTGGTAATGAGGAAAATGAAGCTTGAAAGGCTAAGTGACTTGCGCAAGGTCACAGAACTAGGGTCTCAAACCTGCACTGTCCCGTCTGGCCCTCGCTTGGGGCAGTAGAGGGTCCCAGCAGAGGAGACAGAAGTCAAGGACTGGGGTGGGAGGTGGGTCTGTTTCCTTTCTCAGATACTGCTGTGGCTGCCCATGGCTTCTGTGGTGACTAAGAACATTCTTTGAGAACACAGTGGGCCACCCCAGGAGGAAACCAGGACAAACTCAGAGGGTGGGACCTTCTATAAGACAACTGGCCTGGACACTTCAAAAAAAATATATACAAAGAGGTGTGAGGGGGATTAATTTTACTAAAAGATAATCTAGGCCAGTTGCAGTGGCTCATGCCTGTAACCCCAGCACTTTGGGAGACGGAGACTAGGGGATTGCTTGAGGCCAGGAGTTCCAGACCAGCCTGGGCAACATAGTGAGACCCCATCTCTACAAAAAGACAAAAAAATTAGCTGAGTATGGGGCATGTGCCTGCAGTCCTTGCCACTCAGGAAGCTGAGATGGCAGAATCACTTGAGCCCAGGAGTTGGAGATGACAGAGCAAGACCCTGTCTCATTAAAAAAAAAAAAAAAAATCTAGAGGCATAACATGGCATGCATTCTTGTTTGTGGCAAAAACAGCTAAAGTGGAATTTTGGGACAACTGGGGAAATCTGAATATAAACTGAACATAAGATGCCACAAAATTATAGTTAATTTTCTCAGATGTCCTAATGGTATTACGATATGAAAGAAATGTTTCTTTTCTTAGGAGTTGGATACTGAGATATTTAGGAGTGAAATAATGACTTCACTTTACGACTTGCTTCACACGACTGAAAAAACCAAAATTACCCACGTATTATACACACAGAGGAATAAACAAGCGAAATGTTAATTGCTGAATCTAGGTGGTGGATAAATGACTGTTGACTGTGCCATTCTGAGTTTAAAACTTTTCATAAGAAGTTGTGAGAAGAAAGAATACTCTTTGACCTTCAGCAAGCCAGGCCCTCATGAGTGCGATGGGCGAGAAAGCCCTAGGTACCAATCACCCCCACCAAGTTCTGGCCCAAGGCTGGGTGAGGGACCGGCCCCTCGGAGCTGTAGTCTCACCTCCATGACGTGGGCTAACAACGGTGCCTGCCCTGTGGAAAGGTGTGGAGTTTCCTGGTCCCCCTTCCCTGCCCGTAGCCCCAGGGCGGGCGGCCTGCCCTTGGCGGAGTGACGCCGACCTCGCGCTTCGGCCCGCTTACCCGCGTCCCATTCCAGCAGGCTGGGGTCCTCCCAGCTGCTCCCAGCTGCCGTGCGAATGCAGCGTTTCAATTTCTCTGGCTTCCCCTTCTTCTTGTCTTCACCCAGGGGCTCTGGGACCTGAGGAGGGAAGGAGAGGGGTACAAAGGGCTTGCTGTTGGAGTCTCCCACTCTCCTTTGCCCCCCGGCCCCCTGCCTCCACAGCAAGGACTGGATGGGCTTTTGGGGGTGGGATACATGCGTCTGTCTCCCTCTCCCCAAGTCCTCCCACCATCTGGACAAAAGATTCTATGTGTTTCTGTGTGTGGAAGCTCCTGGGCTCCTGCCTGCCCTCCAAGCCCCTTCTGTCCCCTCACTGCCGTGCTCCCTTGCTTACCTCAAGAGCCATGAGGCCAGGGGGTGGCTCAGGCCGGGGGGGCCGGGGCCGTGGACGCAGGGACAGGAGCTCGGGAATGCGCAGCGGGGGCAGCAGGCCACGTACTACCTCCAACGGGAGGGGCAGGGGCTCAGGCTCGGGCAACGGCATGGCCAGGGCCAGTGGCAGGCTGGGCCCAATGACTGCAGGGCCTGTCGGGGCCCCTCCTGCTCCCACAGCCACTGCTGCACTAGCCTCCTCCAGCCCGGCCGCCGCTGCCACCACCGCCTCTTCCTTCTCCTTCAGGCCCAAGCCCAGGCCCAGGCCCAGCTCTCGGGGTGCTGCTGGCTCTTCCTGCGGGTAAGAGGAGAGCGTGAGGGGCCAGGTCACAGACTCACACCTTACTTTCACCCCCATCCCACATGACCAGGCAAGGGCCTGGGAGTCAGGGAGCAGGCAGGAGACACGTAGGCAAAGAAAGAAGTCTCCAGTCGGACACACAGACAGAGAACACAGGCAAAGAGACAGACAGACAGACACAGGGACAAATAACATCGAGACAAAAACAGAGATGATCGAAGGAAAAATAGAGATATAGAGGCAGAAATACACCAACAGCATGTGTTTCTCTCCATACTCTCTTCACAAAAGGCAAGAAAAACAGACTTGGCCCCAGAAAGAAACAGGGACAGATGGGTGCAGCAGGAGTAAGAGTGAGGGCAGGGGAACAAACGCCGGGGCAGGGGCAGACACAGCCACAGCCCTCCGGGCCAGGACTGAGGGCCTCCCCGCCTACTGCGCCTCTGACCATTAGCTCCCCGTCCATACTCACCAGAGGGGGCCTCAGAGCAGCCATGGAGCCCAGGGGGGGCCCTGGGGCCCGAGCCATTGGCGGCAGCATCATGGGTGGTCCAGGAGGCCCAGGCAGAGGGGGGCCCACGAGGGCCTGGTGAGGGGGCCGCAGGGCCATAGGGCGGGGGCCACCTGCTGCAGAAGAGAGAGCAGAATCTGTCAGGGTGTTAGTGGGGGAGTCGGAGGGCTTAGGTGGGGAGTTATGTGGCAGGGATGATGACCCTGGCCCCCTCACCTGCTCTCTGTAGCACATGGGGGACGAAGGCCGGACGCAGGATAGGGGCCCTCTGGGGGGCCACAGCTGTGGGAGAGAGAGATGGGGGTGTGTGTCATGGGGGACAGGTGTACTTGGGGCAAGGTGTGTGTGGGTGTGCTCTCAGCATCCAAGAAATCCTGCGGAAGAGTCGGGGAGCCTTCTGGGAGATGTGGGCTCTTTCCACTGGTTCATTCAGCAAAAATTTACCACTGAGGAACTCCTCTGGGCCCAGCCCTGTCGTGAGCAGTGCTGGGGACACACCGACAGACCAGGGTTCTCAGGGAACTCCTGGTCCAAGTAGGAGGGAACAGACGCCTCACAAGAGAACGGCAGCCCAGAGCGATCGGGGCTGGAGAGGGGAAAAGCCCAGGCAGAGAGATCCGTGCTGGGAGAGGGAAGCGCAGCTGCTGGAACCCAGAGGAGTCCCCTGACCTAGCCAGAGGAC